AGGTATTGTATTGTATACTGTAAAATATTGTTTTCTCCGTGTTTTCTCTAGATTGCTGTTCAATGTATTGCTTTCACCCCTTTTCAAACAGCGAAGCACATGTTTTGTTGCGTCGTTGATTAACTATGGCCTCTAAGATGTGTATAAGAGACAGTCTAAACATTTACAAACCATAAAATTTCGCGCGCATTAAACTTTCGCGAATTTCGCAAAGGTCCAGATTCGCGAAAATTTTATGCCGCGAATAATATTCAGGTCACATATTCTATGTTTCAAAAACGATCGGTAGGATACTATCTGATCATCGTGAATCTCGAATCAGTTTCAGAAAGGAGATTTTGGTCATTACAAATCACAAAATTACACACAAAATTAATTTCAACTTTTTTAAAGATAATAATAAACAATAAACAGCAAGAATTGTTGGTATTTCAAGGCCTAAACTCGCCGACGACGATGTAATAAAAATCTAGGGCCTAGGCCTAAATGGGGAATCCCAACAAATTGCAACATGTTCGTGAAAAGTTAACAACTTCAACATTTTAAAAATTGTATTTTAAATTATTTTGTGGATTTTTATTAAATGTGTATAAACTTAATAGAATGTATTTCAATTATTGAATAAATATTCTGACCTTAAATTCCGATGTTGAGCTCAAAAAATTCGTATTAAATTCTAGGCCTTTTCTAACCTACTCATTAAGTATACTATCAGGGAGGTTCTGATCATTACTGCATGTGATTGCATATGTGCAACCACTGCGCAGTGCATACTAAGAAGTTAAAATAGAAACTAATTTTCGTACATTGACATACCACCTGTCTCTTATACACATCTAGATGTGTATAAGAGACAGATATATATGCGTGTGTGTGTGTGTGTTTTCATTTTTATTATAGTTTTACGCATTAAATTGCAGATTATGACTGTACTGATAAAACACCGGATGAATATTATGCCAATCCCAATGACCCGTCATACTTTTTCACCTGTGTTGGTGGAACGCCTATTATTCTGCAATGTCCTGCAAACCTAATTTACTATGAAGATCGAGAAAAATGTGACCATACTAGTACTAGCGAAGAAGATGACAGTTCAACATCAATAATAGAAGGTAGAATCTGTTAATATAAACTAGCAAGGATATAGAAATCTAGAGAAGAAAGCACAGCTTCAAAAATACGTTACGCCCAATTTATTCCATGAAAGTCGCTCTATCCAAAGGCAATGACAGAGTTTTTGCGCTGTGCTCTATGGTAGAGCGTATTTACGACATCCATCGAGGTTGATATTATTATGCAAGTAATAAAACTATTTGTAACTATTTATAATACAACTAAATATAAACAGATAATTGATAATTTAATGCATTAAAAAATTCAAATTTACTTTGATAAATATGACAACATTAGGCCATAGAAAAACAGCAGACGCACCGGTAGTCACTTCAGCATTACGTTAGAAATACAAATGGGAAAATGGTTTTTACATTATGTATCAATGGCCGTATTCAACTGGTCGTTCTTCGTTAAAACACGCCCACCTGCGCAATGGTAAAATTATCCTTAATGAAGACGACCAGTCGAATAGATAACTGGTAAATACTCGACAACACAAAATGACTGCATAGTTACCGCGATACACGCTGCGTAATCAAGGCTGCTTGGGATTGTGGCAGTATAGGTTTTTCTTTAAAAAAAATCTTTTCATCCAGTTTTTGAATTCTGTTAGCCTACAATTATTTTTTGACTTCAATGTGGGTAAATATTATAATTTTTATTTTCAGAAATTTAATCTAAATTATATACGCGGATGTTATTGCTAAACTGACCAATCGGCCATATTTTTTTGGTCACGTGCATAACTTAACGCTGATTAACGCACTGGTTACGTTAATTTTCGTTGTCAACGAAGTCTCTTTTACGAACCAGTCGAATGAAAATAATACTCAACGAAAATTCTTAGTCAACGAAATGAACCAGTCGAATAATCCCACTGATTAAACTTAAAGCACCTAAATACGTTCAGTATTATAATTGGAATTTAAAATTCCTCTAATAATACAAATGTACTATTTGTACATCTTTGAAGAAACAAATTTTGTTTTTTAGTTGGTGGCTCAACCTTATCAACAACTGATGGTGTGGTGGATTGGTCAACAACTATAGGTACAATTGATCTTTTTTTTGATCAAACTTTAAATTTACTATGTTAAACAAGAACAGGTTTAGGTTGTTATAATGATGCATAGTGCCTACAAAATAAGAAATGTTTCTAAAACAATTGGAAATAGTTTTCAAACATCCAAAAAACATTAAAGCACCTAAATAAAGTACAAACAGTACAACAGGTTGTAGATATCGCCAATAAAGATGTACTACATTTGTATATTTTGTAGCTGGATGTATAAAGATTAAACGCATCTAAATTGATGATATTGTGGCAAAAATAGCATTGGTTGTATCATGGAGGAACCATCATGTTGCAAGTAATAAGTATAGCAATTAAAACAGAGTATTAGTTGTATTATGTTTCAAGAAGTAATTATTGTTTTGTAGTTGATGGCTCAACTATATCAACTACTGAGGGCGCTTTAAAAGCATCTAAGAATCACTGAAGATTAAAGCACATCAATAAAGTACTAACATAGAGAAAATATTTTCTCTATGGTACAAACAATACAAAAGTAGGCTTAGATATCGCCAAGATGTAATACGTTCATGTATATTTCTGTAGCTGATGCCTCGAAACAAAGTAAGCTCCTATTTGTACTTACTTTTTAGAAATAATTATTGTTTTTATAGTATCTACTACTGAGAGTGAAGACTGGTCAACAACTATAGGTAAAAGTATAATTGATTGTTATATCTTATGAGTTCATAAAAATGAAACTGTTCAGGCTATTGAAATAACATATGCTAGTCATTTCGACAATACGGTCAAATCTACAAAAAAAAAAAAATCATTTTCACACTGAAATATTTAAAATTAACAGCATCTTGCAAAAATATTAACAATGGATATATTTATAGCACGATTTAATGTTCAAGAAATAAATACAGGACTATTTGTACTTATTTAAAGAGAAATAATTATTGTTTTGTAGTTGGTCGACAACATCATGGCTTAATATGGGAACAGTTTTTTGGTACGTTTGATTGAAGTTTAATATCATCTAATTTGATGATATTCTGTCGTAAAATAATCATTGATTTGTTTATACCGTTTTTTTTTTTGGTAGCCGATGGCTTAACCTCATCTACTATTGATGGCAATGAGTTGTTAACAACTAAAGGTAAAACAAAGATTGATTGATTGCTATATATTCTGTATGTTTGAAGAAGTAATTATTGTTTTGTAGTTGGTGGCGCAACTATATCAACTACTGAGGGCGCTTTAAAAGCATATAAGAATCACTGAAGAGCACATCAATAAAGTACAAACAATACAATATCGCCAAGTTGTAATACGTTCATATATATTCCTGTAGCTGATGCCTCAATCCTATTGAGCACCTAAATGGATGATATTGGCAAGAATAACATTGGATTGAACTTATACCACCTTTAATGATGCAAGTACTAAGTAAAGTATTATTTATTGTTGTAAAAAAAAAAAAAAAAAAAACCCGCGAAACAGAGCAGGCTACTCTTTGTACTTATTTTTTTGAAATAATTATTAATTTTATAGTATCTACTACTGAGAGCGAAGACCGGTCAACAACTATAGGTAAAAGTATAATTGATTGTTATATCTTATTAGTTCATAAAAATGAAACTGTTGAGGCTATTGAAATATGATATGCTAGTGGTTTCGACAATACGGTCAGATTTACACAAAAAAAAAAATCATTTTCACACTGAAATATTTAAGATTAACAGCATCTAAATCGATAAAATTTTTGCAAAAATATTAACAATGGATATATTTATAGCACAATTTAATGTTGCAAGAAATAAATACAGAGCTATTTGTACTTATTTAAAGAATAATTATTGTTTTGTAGTTGGTGGTTCAAGCTTATCAACTACTGATGGGGAGGACTGGTCGACAACATCATGGCTTAATATGGGAACAGTTTTTGGTACGTTTGATTGAAGTTTAATATCATCTAATTTGATGATATTCTGTCGTAAAATAAAATGACATTAGAAAACAACAGATGTGAGAACTTTAACCTTACGTGTCAGAGCTACAAATGAGAATATTTTTGATACATTTTAACTACAAAATTTTAAAAAGCACAACAATTAATTACTGTATATAAAGTCATATATTTACTGCCAAGCAATGATGTAATACATATTTATATTTTTAGCTAGTGCCTCAACCATACATGCTATTGATAGTGATATCTGGTCAATAAGTTATGACTGATTATTGCTTAGCTTTCAAAATTTATTTTGATATACAATGAAAATGTTTAGGCTTTTGAAACACAGTTTAACTAGCAGTTTTAAAGAATTTGGTCAGATATACATATACGAAGTGTTTGTATAAGATTTGCAATATTGACGCCCGAAATATCCAAGTCGGGAATTGTGGCACAAAATACCCATGGATGTATATTTTAACCTTATGTAATGATGAGAAATATTTGTTGTAGATAGTGACTCAACAATATCTACTACTACTGACTACTGGTCAACAGCTAAAGGTACAGTTACGATATTGTTGCTTTTTCACTGAGTTAAATTAGAGATAGAAAATAGTTTAGACTAAACACATCGTAGGCTTGTTTATTAATGTTAATCGTATGTGGCTAAATCAAAGTTGTTTTTGGTAAAATGGAAAATCTGAAGTCTAACAGCGACAACAGATATGTTGGCGAATGGTTGTTAATCATCCATGGGGGTATATCTAGTCGAGATATTAATTGATGTATTTATATCACCATTTAATGATACCATGTGTTTTTTTTGTAGCTGGTGGTGGCTCAACCCTTGCTAATATCGATGACCGATCAACAAAAGGTAAAAAAATGATTGAATTAAGGGGTGGCGCCAGCGGGGGCGGGTGTGGGCAGGGCCCCGTCAGGGAGAGCTCCCCCCTCCCCCGCCACAGTCGGGGATAAATACCACAATTCGTCGGGGAGATAACATATGTAGGGCCTATATGTATTTTCTACATATTAGTAGACTCTAAAATTGATTTAATAAGCCTTGGAAACCCCTAATTTGTCATATTTTTCGGGAGCTTCGCCCCCTGGGAGTAGTTCGAGAGATTTTAAGCGACGCCCGATCGCGCCCACTTTTTTCGTCGGGGACATCGGCCCTCCCCCCTCCCCAGGACGTCGGACCCACTCGTCGGGCAAATCCTGGCGCACCCCTGGATTTAACTTGAATAAAGGAAAATGTTTAGGCTGTTGAAGAAATCAACGAATTCGTATAGGCGTATACGAACTACAAATACATAACTATACAAACTATACAAATACAGAACTACAAATGAAAAATGTAAAGATTTATCAGTGGATATCGCCAATTAATGACAGTACATAATGGTATTTTGTAGTCGGGGGTTCAAAATAAGTAACATATTTGATCTAATAATACAACCATTTATTAATGGAAAAACATTATATTTGTACATATTTGAAGAAATAATTATTGTCTTATAGTTGGTGGCTCAACCTTATCATCTACTGATCGTGAGAACTCAACAACTCTAGGTAAAGCTATGCTTGGTTGTTATATTTTATGTAATACGTTTATAAAAATGAAAATATTTACTGTGATAAATATGAAAAGTTTAAGTTTAATAATGAAAGATTTTTTTTATTTTGTAGCTGGTGATTTAACGATATCTACTACTGATATTGGTGACCGGTCAACAACTAAAGATAAAATTATGATTGATTTATTTAGAAAATGTAAATAAAGTGTGGTTTTTTTTGTGTTGTCATTTATTTTATTAAATGTACTTATTGAACGCTCTATTATAATTATTATTTGTTGGTGTTCAGACATAATATTTTGTTATACAATAACAAGTATTTATATTTTGTAGCGCTTGGCTCAACTGTGACTACTGAAAATTGTCACCATCGGTCACCAACAGCTGAAGGTAAAGTGTATAATATTATAAACTATACTAAGGCATCGGAAATTTGAAATAATATTTCAATTCTTCCATGGGGAAACAAAACATTTAACGCCCTCGTCTTAAGTAATTTAAACGATCTGGGAAAGAGATAGGCTTCGTATTAATTAAATCAATATACAATAAATGAATATACCGTATATAAATAAATATTATATATATATATATAATTGTATACTGCATTTTAAATATTTGTATGGATATATATGAAACCACTTCTGGAAAGTATTGTTACAGATATTAAATAACATTAGCTTGATTTGTTCAGATTCTTCTAGAAAATTCATGATCCTTGCTCTCATCATAATTTGTAACTACGTTATCATAATTCTATATTACATTGCAGCTAGTGTACACTGTAAAACAGAAACACCAAATGTAGTCAACATTCCCCTGACATCTAAGCCAGATAGTATCACATTTTCCACTTCTGCTAATAACAGGTTGGAAGAAGGTGTGCTGAATATTTTTAAAATCTTTTTGATTTTTTCGTTTAATTATTTGATTATTATTCAATCTTTTCATGAAATTTCTACTTCGAAGAGTAATAGAGTTCACTGTTTGCCCTAGTGCCTAAAGCTGAATAAATAAATAATCTTCTGATATCGTACAGTTAGGTCAAAGAAGTCACTTATC